TTTACTATGGCCGTGTCCATCTTACAGTTTCATCATTCTTCAACAGTATATTAGAGGTCCAATCTTGCTAATCATGAACTGTACATGACCCAAAAAAAGAAGCCACAGAAGATGTTGAGAACAAAAAATAACACTCCCTCATCTCATACAGATAGACTTATTTTTATTTTCATTTGTCTCAAATTATAAACAATTTTCCTTGTTGAGAGTATAGTTGATTTCTTAGTTTTCTAATATATCAGCTACTCATATTTAAACCATTATTTATCGTAGGGTTATATTACGAAAAATATAAGTAAAATATATTGTTCCAATGTTAATTATATTTTCTGTGAAATGCAAGAAACTCTATCTTTATAGGACGAAGAGAGTAATAACTACAATGAGTGGACAAGTCAATAAAATATTTATCATAGTTTCATCCTAGTTCCTCATTCCATTCTAAGATTTGAGTGTCAAGGTTGTCAGAGGAGGACTACTTGTTACTTCTCTCGACTTGTATGTGTAGACTTTGCCTCTTACGAACAACAGGAAATTAAAAAGTAAGGGAGAATCTGTTCATGTTTAGTTATACTGCCAGAATTGTTTAGACATAAACGTCTATTATATATGTAGCAGCTATCCACCCTATGAGTTCTAACTTTAATTTCTATCAAAATTACAGTTTGATTAGGCAAGTAACATTAATTTCCCATTACCAAATTTCGTTGACCATTAGTGATAAGTGTTTATACACTTATCTAGGCTAGTCCATTGGAGTAATTGTTAGTGATTTAAATGAGTTATATCTTAATTATATATTAAATATGTTTGTTAAGCTAAACTCAATGCAAATTTGTGGAATTGGAAGAAAGCGAACGAAAGGGGCAAAAATGAAAGAAATTCAAAGTTTAGAGACCAAAGTGTAAACATCCAGTAGTTGGCTCGAGCCATAAAATGGTAATTGAGGATCACATATGATCAATTGGATACAATTTGGAGGTAAAAGGAATGAAATAGAGTTGACGTATTTTCACGGATATATATTTCCAGTCGAAGAAGTGATGTTCCAAATTTTTGGCCTCAATTTGAGACCCATTTTTCAAATAGCAAACATTCGAATTGGAAAAATTATATATTTAAAAAAATTGTAACTCTTTGAATCACCTCAATCGAATATCAATAGAGAAAGTTATAACCAAAATATAAAACATTGCTAGGGACAAAAGCGCACAAAACGGCGTGCGCATAGGCCATTAATGGCACGCACGCGCAAGACACAAAATTCATGACCCCAGAGAAATATGATTCGATGGTGTGCGTAAAGTGGTTATGCCTATACGTGCCTGGGGGCTTTTTCCGCAGATGAATTAGCAGTTTCCTTTCGATTCAAACTTTTTTGGGACCCAAATTGGATGCGATTTTGATCTATTTTCGCTCTTATAAATAGAGAATAATTCTGTGGGTTAAAAAACCCTCTCTTGCCTCTTCATACAAAAGACTATCATCAAATTCATCAAGAATAAGAGGTCAATTCATTACTTTTGGGAGATGAGATCAAGCACTTGTAAGGAATTGAAGCTCAACTATATCAAGATTTTAAGGAATTCAACATCGGACTTGAAGATCAACATCTTTTGAATTATTTCATAGTCCAAGTGATATTTTTCTATTATTCTTCTTGTAACTTATATATTAATATCTAGGCAAGATCCATTTTTATATTGGATGAAGATGAGCCTTATTTGTGAGGAAGTGCATAAGGGATTATAATTTATGATGAAATGGGATCGTCGCAACACAAAATAATGTTTTTTTGATTTCATGATAACTTCAGATTGGTTAGTTTTTGGCGAGTTGCTAGTCTAATTCGATCAGAATCGAGCCAATGAATAAAACACAGGGCCTTTGGCCCTGATGCAAGATCAATTTTGGGCAAAATTCATCGTTTAGGCCCTCGTTTAGGCATTTTTACTATTTATGGTAATTTTTGTTTTTGCAATATCTTTTTCCGTAAAATTTGGATTTATATTCCGTTTGTTGGAGGACGATTCTGAAGATAAGGATTTTCCATCTTAGTAGTTATCTCATGTTTTTCTATTTTTGGGAAAATATCTCTTTATTCTATTTTCCGAATTTTGCTAGGTTTTTCTTTTATTAAGGCGTTGTAAGCCCTTTGAGGCGATAGTTATTGAATTCAATAAAATTTTTCTTGAGAGTTTTCTCATTTTGTGATTATCCATCTTCCCTATAAGCTTCCGCTATGTCAGTTGGTATCAGAGCCGAAATCGTTCCTTCACATGCCGCCAAGGAGACGTCTTGAAGCCCGTGATACCCCGATAGAGGAGGTACAGAGATGTGATGATATCTCACAGCTACGTCAGCAAGTGGAATTTCTAACACAACAGAAACCTGCACCTGCAGCCCAACAGTTTGAGGATTCCGATGATGAGAATCCGTTTACACCGCTTGAACAACCATTGGATCTACTAGTTCGCAGGAGAAGTGGTGGTTAGGAGGACAATCGATGTTGGGAATCAGGATTTAAAGTTGATATTCCAGAATTTCATGGTGGGTTGAGTCCAGAGGAATTCTTGGATTGGGTGATTGTAGTGGAGGAGATCTTGGAGTTTAAAGATGTTCTTGCCGATAAATGTGTACCTCTCGTTGCAACGAGGCTTCGTAGGCGAGCAGTGGCGTGGTGGCAGTAGACTAAAGTGACGAGATCCAGGCTAGGAAAATCTAAGCTTGCATCGTGGGACAAATTGAAGAAACAGTTTCTGCCTTACAATTATGTACAGACCATGTACCAACAATTGCAGAATCTGCGCCAAGGTGGGAAAATGGTTAGTGATTATACCATGAATTTTTATATGTTGGTTACGAGGAACGAGATGATGGAGACGGAGAAGCAGTTGGTGTCACGATACGTGGGTGGTCTTCGTCCCCAAATACAGGATACTCTCAATATGTTTGATCCTGTTACAGTTTTTGAAGCACATCAGAGGGCAATACAGATAGAGAAGCAACAGTCCAGGAGAACTACTAGTCCTTTCATTTGCAGGGAGTTCTTCCAGTAATCCACAACAGCAGGTGACACATCCTGGTAATCTTGTTCAATCTGGTCCTCCTAGAACAAATCCTGTCCAACAACCAACACGTCCTGGGGTTGGTATTCGTTATTTTGGATGCAGAGTTACAGACCATAGGCAGTCTGAGTGCCCCAAAAATCTGCGCAGGGGACTCTTTGTTGATGAGGAGAATGTCGATTATGAAGGTCCGCCTGTATTTGACGGTGAAGGCGTAGAAGAAACAACAAAAGAGGAAGAGTTTGTGGTTGGTGATGTGGATCAGGCACTGGTGGTGATGAGGAGTTTCCTGACTCCCTTGGAGAATAACACTAATTGGTTGCGTAACAATATCTTTCAATAGACATGTACTGTTAGAGGGAAAGTATGTAAATTTGTTATTGATTCTGGTAGTTGCAAGAATGTGGTGGCTGAGGAGGTTGTTAAGAAGTTGGGTTTGCAGACTGAGAAACATCCCAAACCTTACAAATTAGCCTGGCTGGAGAGAGATAATGATGTAGAAGTGTCTCAACGTGCTCGAATCAGCTTCTCAATTGGACCTACCTACAAGGATCAGGTTTTATGTGATGTAGTAGAGATGGATCCGTGTCACTTACTGTTAGGGAGGCCGTGGCAGTTTGACAGGCACTCACTGCATGATGGATATACCAACACGTACAACTTTCTGTTTAGGGGAAAGAAAATTGTGTTGCTATCAGATAAGAGTTCAGTACAAACAGTTGGGAGCAACACCAACTTACTAACCAAAAAGAAGTTCGAGACAGAGATGGAAGAGTCTGGGGTAGTGTATGTGCTGGTGAGCATGAAGTCCCTCTCGCAGTTCAGCAATTGCTGAAGGAGTTTCATGAAGTTTTCCCGTCAAATTCGAGGGCAAATTTTTCCCACCTTGGGGAGAATGATGAAGTGTATAAGGGATTAGAATTTATGATGAAATGAGATTGTCGCAAGGCAAAATAATATTTTTTTTATTTCATGATAACTTTGAACTGGTTCGTTTTTGGCGAGTTGCTAGTCTAATTTGATCAGAATCGAGCCAATGAATAAAATTCAGGACCTTTGGCCCTGATGCAAGGCCAATTTTGGGCAAAATCCATCGTTTAGGCTCTCGTTTAGGCGTTTTTGCTATTTATGGCAATTTTTGTTTTTGCAATATCTTTTTCCATAAAATTCGGACTTATATTCCGTTTGTTGGAGGACGATCCTGAAGATAAGGATTTTCCATTTTAGTAGTTATCTCATATTTTTCTATTTTTGGAAAAATGTCTTTTTATTCTATTTTCCGAATTTTGCTAGGTTTTTCTTCTATTTAAGACGTCGTAAGCCCTTTGAGGCGACAGTTCTTGAATTCAATAAAATTTTCTTCAGAATTTTCTCATTTTATGATTGTCCATCTTCCCTATAATCTTTCGCTACGCCAATTTGTAATTTATTTCTAATTCAAGACTAGTAGTTTACTATTTCTTGCGTTTCTTGATTAATCTTGCATACCCATTACATTATTTAATTGTTTGGCCGTCAGTTAGATAATTAGTTGCTTGTCGTAGTCTTGGAGACCCACAATTACGTTTAGAATGCGAAAATGTTAACATATGTGCAATAAATGTTAGGAAATATTTATCACAAGTGCAATCATATAGATAATCTAAATTTTTCATGCATTCTAACCATTTGAATTCGGGCTAGAAATATATTCGTGTCGTGGTTAGGTTAGACTTAATTTGTTTTGGGAAAGAAAATTATATACATTAGCTTTATCGGTTGTCAAGGACATATGAATGGAACTAGATTACAAGTCAAGAATTGAAATAGATAGCAATTATAGGCAGATTTGAAATACAATAGAATCATCCATAATTTGATAAAAAACTAAACTTTTATAGATTTCTTAAATTAATTTAGCAAAAATCAAATCAAAATATCTCTTTTATTTTATATAATTCAAATTCCATACATAACTGATAAATTTGAATTGAAATTTATTTCCCGTGGGACGACATTCTCAACTCATCAACTCTATTACTTGTCTACCCTTGCCGGTTTCGTACGAACAATTAGAAGCCATTCTGTTTAACAATGAATAGTCAAAAGTTGTACAAACTGACTGAATTTGTATAAATATGCCAAATCAGTTGGAGGATGAACATCCAAAATAATATGGAGCTTGAACAGGAAGAAGAGCTAGAGCCAGTGAGTCCTAGTGCTCAATATCTGAAGAGCTCAGCATTATCACTAACTATTTTAGGTGTTATGGAACTAGAAGCTCCAATTGATGTGTCCATTGGCATGTCACTCCTCAGAGATTTATTCATACCCATAAATCATCGCTTTTCCTCAATCATGGTGAGTTGTAAGATGTTCATCCTTTTCGTTTTTAAGGGTGAGGTATGACCGCGGTCAATTAATGTTGCATGTTACTAGCTGGTTAAATGGTTCATTATAGTGTCACAGACAGGTTTAGAAAGACTGCAAGACTTCTTAACTAGTTATATCGAACACGTAGAGAATATAATGTTTTAACTAGGTGTATGCAAAATGCCGAGATAATAATCAAGAAGTGATTTTTTGTACTCCAAGCAGGTTTCCGAGGAGGGAGGAGCAAAGAAATGGAAAAGGGTGGAGGTAAATCTAAAAGATCATGTAGCTATACCAGTTCTTCCCAGTGGCTTGTCAACTGATTATTATGATGAATGTTTTAGTGAGTATTTATCAAAACTAGCATCGGAGCAACTTCCAGAAAACAGACCTTTGTGGGAAGTCCACGTATTTAACTACCCAACAAAGAACGCAGGTGGTAATGTGATATTCAAACTTCACCATTCACTTGGAGATGGCTATTCCATAATGGGAGCGCTTCTGTCTTGTCTACAAAGACTTGACAGACAACCCTTCTATGCCATTAACATTCCCATCGCGCCAGTCTAACTCGAAGCCTAATCGTCACAGTCAAGGTTTTCTCAGGCACATCAACCGGTTTTTTTCTGGTTTGATTAACACTGCATACGATATCGGATGTAATCTCTTAAAGAGCAGTTTGATTGAAGACGATAAATCACCTATTAGATCTGGGCATGGAGTTGAGTGTGGACCATTTGCTATAACTACAACTACATTTTCCATTGAACACATCAAGCAGATAAAGACCAAGCTTCAAGTGGTAAATTCTTTGGGCTTCTTTTTCTTTCTTGTTTTCTTATCGATTGACATTTTCTCATTGTTTATGCTCGTGTAAGTCCTCATATTTAAGGATTGCATTTCGTTCACAGACGGTTAATGACGTGATTACTGGGGTAATCATATTTGGAACCAGATTATACATGCAAAGAGCGAATCAAGATTCCAGTAAAGGGAACTGTACTGCACTTGTACTACTCAATACTCGGGCCATTGGAGGTTACAAGTCTGTGAGTGAGATGATCAAACCTAATGCAGAAATGCCCTGGGGTAATCGCTTTGCATTCTTGCAAGTTTCTATTCCCAATTTGACTGCCTCTGAGTTAAACAATCCACTCAAATTTGTTTACAAAGCCAGCCAATTAATTAAGAGGCAAAGAAATTCTGCAGCAGTTTATCTGACGGGTCAGTTTCTTGACGCCATGACTAAAATTAGAGGTCCTGAGGTAAGTATATTAATTTTTCATGTAAAAAGGCTTATTTACATCTCATGTTTTACCGGAGTTTGATAGTTTACATTTTGGGTTCTTTTCTAGTTCCGTACGAACAAGAGTTCGTCACTGTAATATGATGACGATAGAATCCATCACTAATTTCTCAAAAATTATTCGCTAATGGAGTCTTGAGGAAACAGCGGCTTTAGTCATTTTTATATCTATATACTTTTTTCCTTGCTAATCTGATGTTGAATTGTGCCTTGACGAAGTGAAGCTGTCTTGAGGGAATAATTTCTTCTCAAGCCCGTTTGATAACTATTCTTTCATAACTTTTTTTTCCTTACACTCATTATTAATCACACATTCTCGCAATAAAATATTTTTCACATAAATCCAAATATTTTTCCTAATTTTTAATCACATTTTCCAAAAAATTATCATTCAAAGGCTTAGGGAGTGTTCTCTTTGTATTTCAGTTTTGAGTTTTGAGTTTTGAATTCATTTTGAGTTTTGTATTTTGAGTGTTTGTTTTGAAATTGTTGAAAATGTGTTCTTTTTGTTAGTTTCTCAAAAAAAAAAAAATGAAATTTTTTTTTAAAATTTTGAGAATCACCACAACACCACTTCAAAAAAAAAAAAAAAAAAATTATAATAATAATAATAATTTTTAATTTTTTTTGAAATTTTGAGAATCACCATACCACCTCTTCAAAAATAATAATAATAATAATAAACAAATAAATAAATAAATAAAGGTGTTTCCCGCATTTTCAATTTTTTCAAGTTTTATACTGTAAACGCCCAAAACGAAAAAAAAGTCGTTTTGTGTTTTCTTCACAATTTTTTTTTTCGTTTTCGAAAACAGGAAAGAGACCACGTTTTCACCGTTTTGAAAAATCGAAAACAGAAAACGGCTCGAAAACAGTAAAGAGAACAGGGCTTTAGTTTCTTCAAAAAATGGTTGTCAAACAGGAGGGGCTAATTAAAGAATGTCTCAACTAGATAAATTCACTTATTTCACACATTTCTTTTGGTCATGCCTAGGTTGCAATAAGCCAAAAACTAATATAGTATATTTTACGCTCACCATGTTAAAACCTCTTAATGATAATCTTTCAGAAAATTTACTATCTTAAACAATTCGGGTTTGATGCAACAGGCAACTGCTCGGTACATCTACGGCAAATTAAATAATTCCAGCCTGATGATATCAAATATGATTGGGCCGGTGGAACAAATGTCTTTAGCTAATATCCCAATTAAAGGATTGTACTTTACAGTGCCTGGAATACCACAGGTATTGTATACAGCCATATAAAGAGTTTTTCTGTATTTGTAGCTTATAATTGTAAAATTAGATTTTGTTTCAGATCTTAGATATAGACATCTCAATTCTACATTGAATCAATTGTTTCTTCATGACATGTTGTGCATGCTGAATTATGCAGAGTCTTCAACTAACAATTGTGAGTTATGTGGAAAAGCTGAGAATTGTCATGTCTGTGGAGAAAGGTTTCATCGATCCAAATAAGTTCAAGTCATGCATTGAATATGCCTTTGAGGCAATTTCTAAAGCAGCACTAGAGTGAAGCTCAAAATATATTGTAGCCTTAAAATAATTTCTCCTTTGTTTTAAGTTCATTTAGAATTTGATCGGATACTAATATTTGGATTGGATTACTAAATAAATTAAGGTTGTGTCTTATTAATCTTTTCTAGTACTTGTTTGATTAGAAATATATGTCGATATTATCCACTTTCACCATGCCCTCTATTGAAATGTCTAAGAGGAATTTAATCTGTCATCCCTTTTTAGATCTTGAAGGAAAAATAATTTATTTCCTAGAATTTTGGCTTCTTTGTTAGGCCTTGAGTCAAAAACCACATTAAAGTAAGACATATCTTATTAGATAATGTGCAAACGCTTCAAGAAGTTGAACAATTGTATAACGGGGGCAATAGATGATACTTTAAGTTTGTTCTGAAGTTTTACTTACCGTGTTGATGTTTTTACATTTTTTTTATATAATTATTATAGAAACCTTTTTCTCTATCCATTGTAATATTTGTCTACTATAGAGGGCAAGCTATAGAAGCAGACTCAAACCCCTTCTGCATAAGATTCATTCTTGTATAATACGGGTACCATGATACCCACTCACACAAATACATGAACAACATCGCGTAGTGAATATTTTTCCGAATCTCATACTCACTTTCTCAATTTCAAGACAAAGTTGGTCTTAGGAATTTAACATGAGAAATACCGCAATAGAAAATGAGCACCCTTGGTAAGAACCCATTCAAATCATCGACAGTGAATTTCAACATCTATAATTTTAGTAATTTTCTATCTAAAAAATAAAGATCAATGAATTGGTTGCTTTGAGAATTGGTATGCTAAGCTTCGGCCGGCTTCCTTTAAAAGGTCATCTAATCAGGGAAAGTACCTTAAGAAAATTATATATAAACCGACTCAAAGCAATTATTTATTTATTTATTATTATTATTATTATTATTATTATTATTATTATTATTATTATTATTATTATTATTATTTGTCTTGAAATTAACTTTTGACAACTGGGGACATCTATAGTACATCTTTTTTCCTTGTCATGTAAACATTTTATGGTGAAGATATACTTTTTAGTGCAATTCACCATCTCATTGAAAAACATCTATATGCAGGACATTGAGCAAGAACTGTTCATGCCATTGTTGGTGAATTTCAACATCTATAATTATTGAAAAATCTGTTTTCATCTAAGAAACGAAAGTATAAATAGAATGTGTTGCTCGAGCATGTTAAATGTGTACCAAAATATTTTTTAAACTAACTATGCAAGAAGTCATGAATGCAATATAGTTGTCAATAATGTAAATATAGGCATGCGACTTGACAGTGTGTACTGTATAGTTCCCAAATGTTCGTCTCTTTCCCTAATTAAAGAACAATAAATTTGTGGAATCAGTTGGCAAAATAATGTAACAATTTATCGTGCTTGAATTTATATTCAAAATTAACTATTTGGTAAGTAGAAAATTGGACCTAGTTTTGACCAATTCAAACTCAACGAAAGAAATAAAGCAAAAAGTAATATGATCGAGACAAGAGTTCAACTCTTTATCCTTAAGACAACAGTATTCCACATTGAAGTTGAAGGTCTTCCAAAACTCATCTTCTAATATACGACCTCATAATAGTAAACCTCTAAATTATAGGACTTGGCAAACCTACTGGGAAGATGTAGGCCTGGGCATTGGGTGGGTCAATCCAGGTATTTCAATACCCAGAACCACCCATTATACTTTGAGTATTTCGCAAATGGAACCATTTGAGTCTTTGTATATACTAGAACCAAACTCAAACCCAAACTATTTTCGGTTCTACCCATAACATTTTTATATACATTTATTTAATAAATATTTTGCATAGACCCTTTTGGTACATATATCTAATATGTTGTTACTAGAAAATATTTGTACAATGGAGAAAATTCAGTTAAAAAAATTTCAAGGAGCAAAATATTGGATGCTAAAGGCCACGAAAATAGGAGAAAAATAATTATTATTTTTTAATAAATCTTATTTGATCTATAAGAGAAGCATACTAGGCATATAATTTAATTATGAACAATGCTTAAATTCTTATACTTTTAAAACAAACTGATACAAAAAAATACTAATTAAATACATGAATAATATAGTATCAAAAAATTATGGACCACATATTAAACTCACTTTGTTTGAAGAAAAATAAAAATCTATATATTTAGAAAGAGAACCACGAACTTAAGATAACAAGAAGGTACAACACAGCGCAAGCAATGAATATATCAAATTCAATTGCCATGCATTATGAAAAATTTTAAAAATCACTTAAGTTTATTAACAATACAAGAAAGTAAAAAATTTGAATTGCAAAGATTCATCAACTTATACCACAACTTGTTTGGAATTTTTGATTTGTAAAAAGCTCAAATTGTAAACATTAACATATAAAACTTCTGAAATGCAACAATATGATGTAAGGCGAGATATAAAAAAGTAAGAGCCAATCTTATTTTTTTAAGGTTAGAATTTAAAGTTTTAGACTAATGACTGCCAAAATTAGGATTTTTAGGTTTTATATGTTTTTTCTAGGCCTAGGCATCGGGTGGGTCGGTCCGGGTATTTCAATACCTAGAACCACCCATTATACTTCGAATATTTCGCAAATGGAACCATTTGGGTTTTTGTAAATACTAAACCAGACCCAAATCTGAACCATCGGTTCTAATTATACCCATAACATTTTTATACACATTTCTAATTTCTATTAAAAAGCTCAACGATTTGCCACTGTTAATGAAACAGTAAATGAATCCCAATTTACTGTACAAGAGAGAAGAAAATGACGTCATTTTTGTCTATATATTTTTTTCCTACTTTTCACTGTTGAAGTTCATTTTTTCCTTCTTTCTTTCTTTCTTTTTCTTCTTTAGCTCACGTCCATCCCTATTTTTGCTTCTTATTTTCAGCGACCATACTAGACAACCATACTCCTTATTTTCAGGTACAACAATTTTTATTGATTGATTTACGCAATTGAAGAGGTGTATGAATTTAAATATCTCTTTCTACTCTCCTTTCTTTTCGAAAAAAATTTTACTGGTTGTAATGGTTAGTAGTGTTTTTATCGTATTTTTTTATGGAATTAACATAAATTTTGTTCCAAGTTGTATAAAAAATGCATATTTTCCGTTCCACCTTCTTGTTTAGGCTGTATAATTAATTATTTTTCTAGAAAGTATTGCCTGATCTTAGTTGGGTAAATTGATGTTTATTTGGTAAATTTATTTGTTGGAATACCGAGAAAGTATTGCTTTAGTGTGATCTTTGATATTAATTTGGTGAATTCATTTTTGTTGGAATACCGAACATTTAGTTTTGATAATTTTTAAGTATCCACAATAAAATTAGCAAAATTAAATGTTCGGTATTCCAACAAAAATGAATTCACCAAA